TAAGTTTTATTGCAGTCTCTTTTTACCAGTAGAGTTGTACATACTTAGAGATCTCGTTGTCCTCATTTTTCCCTAAAATGAAGTCAAAAAAGTTTTTTTCCATATAGACCTCCAAAGTAATGAAAGTAATACGTGATCCTTTGGTAACTACAATAGCTTGTCCATGGATATCGATTGATTTGTCTCTTTTTTTCAGGTGCGAGTATTCAATTTCACCACTCCAATTACAATTCAAGTATCGTTTGCGCAGTCACCTCCTATTAACTGGGTGTTGTTCTTTGTGATATTTGCAGCGTGAGTATACTTTTCAGTTGCCATTATTCCCATTCATGTGAGCCTACCTGAAAGTGGCTTAATTTAGCTGTTTCATCGTGCTTTTGGTTGTAGCTGGTTTACTGTGGATGATTAAACTTCGGATTGAGGTGTATCGAAGAAATCAACGGAGAATTGATGAAATCGAACATGTAAGATTGTTACTCCTGCTTTAGCTACTCATTATGACTTTCTGATGAAATTAATTTTCTGGTCAGCGTCTTCGCTGTTGTTTCTCTGCGCAGATTGGCTGTAACCGTTAATAACAGTAACTATAAGTAACTTTTTTCGGACGGCGCTGTCGAAGTAGTATGGAGGCGCCTGTCAGCTTCAAAATCCCCCGAGTCGTCCATCCTGGTCCACTAAAAGGAAGTGACTACCAGGTCGGGTTTTGTTCAACCGTCCGTCATTAATCGGCCTGTCTTAATGGCGAAATGAAGGAATTGAATCATGTATTTCTGTGGGATTCTCGAATTTTCCATCTCGCTGCTGGAGCGCAGACTGTTCTGTGCACTCGTTCTTATATCGTGTCATGCAAAAGCCGTTGGTAAAAGGCAGGACGTGGCCAAAATTTATCTAAATAATGATGTTGCATTTGTTACTTATCCCTATATTTAGATGGCATCTCGCCCATTCTCCTCGGTCAAACTTGAACTGACAAGCCCACACTGCTATGCGGTAGGTTTCTGGTTCCTGTATCTTTATTTATTAACGTGTTAGATATTAAATACTTGAAGCGTTGCTGAGCTGTTTTCAAGATTACGTATGGGATCACGCCATACCATACCATGTAGCTAGAAAACGAAAGTTAGACATAGAGCGCTGATATAGCACTGGCATGTGATCCAGCTTCACCTGCGCAAGAGTTAGGTGTACTGGATGAGATTGTTAGATATTAATTCACTTACCAGTGAGGGGAAAGGAGTAGACAAATCTGTCGAAGACACCATAAATGAGGCCTAATACATCCAACGATAAAAAAAGCGAGGCACTTTTGAGTAGCCGGGAGACCAGAGAAGAGGGATGAAAGACTAGTAAATCGAGCGAGAAGATAAGGACCCGTCCCACTTGGAGTAAAGGCGATGCGTCCACGTGTATGTCGTAACTGCTACGGGTGATTTCCTATTGGATAATGATGGCCGCAGTACCCTCGCTACTCACTGTGAAGCTACAAATGCGGGCAATCCCTGAGATTGCGGAATAAACTGCT